CCCATGACTTCCGAAGAATCACGGCTTTCACTATGAGGCTTGATAATTCTTCTGAATGAATATCCTTCAACTCGGAAGACATGATTTAAATTGTTTAATATGGCTAGTTATTTTTTAGCAATGTTGTCTTCTACGGGATTGGGATGCCAACTTCATGTCCAAATCCCCTTTTTTTATAGGCTTAGTATTTGTAGTAACTCGAATAGAATTACAGGCAGAGTTCATATACAGTTTGGTCACAAAAAAATGATTACATGCTCTGGAAAATTAGACATCAGTCTTTTTAAATCGCTCGCTTATTAATGAATTTAAATCTTAAATCCCATCAATCATACCAAGATTTTATATTGGTAGTGATATTAACTAATGGAATGTCATTAAATTTATCAAAATAGTAACCACATTTGAAGTTTATTCAATAAGATTTATATAGAATAACAATGAAATCATAACGGGAAATCTATTCACTCATCAGTCTTTATCGTAAATTATTACTTAGTGTTGAAATATTTACTCATTTCTTTCAACAACAGAAGAAAGACATTTTGATATTGTACACATGAATAGATGTGAGGTATTTACATCTATTCATTACAATTAATTGAAATATATGAGAAAGAATCAAATTAAGTTTTCAATCTATCATAATATAATAAGACATGATTAACAATGTCTTTATACTTAAATAGTAAACTGATTAGATAAACTATAGTAGAAAATAAATAAACAAGTCTCTCTATTTATGTTATAATCATTTAAGAGACTGACAATGAAAACAACAATAACATATCAGAAGGAAATATATTTTTCATAGGATTAGTTAAGAAGCAATAAGCTTTAAACGAAAATATATATAATTTACGTCAATTGTTATCATATGATCCCATTATCCTATTTATTGTAATTTATTTAAACTTTAGAAGGTATGTAACTTCCTTTCATTTTCTTCTTTTTATCCAAATAGAAAAAAACGTGATAAATAAAACAAACTAGCATTATAAAAACAAAGATGGATAGTGGCTAGCAGTGGAATCCAGGATGCGAGTTTCGTCCTAATTGGGACTCGTCAGCTGGATGTACTTGCATCTCAGAGTTGTTCACTCTAGGACTCAAACTCAGTACCATTCGTGTTAAACGCCATCAAGTTATCCACTTAGCTACTGAGTCCTGATAGCCACTTGCTAGTACAATGGGGTAAAGTTTAAACTCACTTGGTATTATTTACTTGAATCTTCCCATTGTTGTTTAGGACTGAAATTAATCAGTCTCTTATTGGCATAGGTGTACACTGTGTGTATTGCTTCGATATCCATCTTTGCTTATAATTTAAGACAATATGGAAGCAATCCGCACAGGATGCACATATACTAACAAGAGATTGATCAATTACAGCCCTAAACAATAATGGGAAAATAAAGCAAACAGCACCAAGTGAATTTAAACACAATATTTTCAAATATTTCAAGTGATTAAGCTGTTATGATTACTTCATGTTCATAATTTAAATCGGTCGTTCGATAGTGAAAACATGTTAATAGATTAGAATGTTTCATTATTTAGATGAACTGGAAAATGTTATATGTATCCTTTGAATTGGGATGTTTAATATATCAAACTATTAACGTATTATACCAAAACTTTCTTCACCACCTCTGGATTCGAATGTGTTATTTTTGAACAAACTCTTCTGAATGAATATGAAGAATGACTGATTGTTTGATGAATCATTTTATCCTCATAGATTAGTCGGTTTTTCTTGTCTGATAAGTAACGTATATTATTCATTGGCTCAATATTTTGTAGAAAAATAACTATATTAACATTATATATATATATATATATATATATATATATATATATATATATATATATATATATATATATATATATATATATGCGATCTCATTTACAAATGATATCAAAACATTAAGATAATGATTTGGTCAAACTGCATACTTACAAAACATTTGCTATTGACATTACTTGAAAAGAACCCAAAGCAGTAGTTGATTTACATTAATGCATACATTGATAAGTTTTTCTTATCTTTATTATATACTGCTCAACTACACAGAATGGATTATGTATAGTTCGAAATATTTTTAATGGATTAACAAAATAAAGAAATTCTAATCTTGCGTTTATTAACAAAACCATTTTCAAAGCAAAATTTTAAAAAAAACTTTTTTCTATTATGAATTCCTGTTGGCAAAATCACTCTATCATAAGTATGATCAAGAAAACGTAAAAGTTTATTCATTCACCGATCCTTGACGTTTAGCTTGATTATTACATACCTTATTCATTATTTTATTACGATCATTTATTCATGTTTGCACGCATATAAAACTTATTACAAGATCAAACTGTGTTAAAATAAATCATGGAGATAATAAATTGAAATTCAGTTTACTACTTGTTCATTAAACATTTGATTACCTTTCATGTTTAGTAATCATTATTATCAACTAGTAAAAACGGTTATCAATTTTTCCTAAATTATCTTTTAATAATATACATAAACGTTTGCGCGCGAGATTGATATGTCCTGGGTTCGAATTTCTCGGGAGGCGGGATCGTGGATGCGCACTGCTTAGGAGTCCCATACTAGGACGAAACGGTCGTCCAGTGCTTCCAGGTTTTCCATGATGATCTAGCTTCCATTGATTCATGAATCCAACTATAAAATTACTAAAATATCTATAAAACCCTTTCTGATAATATACATATTAGTTCTCTTGCCACGATAACTAACGACTTCAGTTCCATTTCTACTTGAACGAAAAAATTGAGATAAACGTTTTATTCCAATAGACATTCACAGACAGGAGTATAGAAGGGTAGTCAAATGAAATTGATGTCTATTTTTTCTCAGAATTTAAAATTTTTTATCAACACACGGATGGAACACTCAGACAAAATTATTTATTCAAAATAAAATGCAAATTCTGATATTTAATCAAAGTACCTTATGCTGTTTGAATTTGAACTAATTAAATTACAATGCACAGCGACAAAAGGTTTGATTATTATCATATGAGTGCACACAAAAACAAGTTCACCAATCACCTCTTTCAATTTTTTTAATTACACCTTAAAATATCTCATCGACGGAGGTTGGTAGTGAATCGAAACCCCCGTACAATAACTTTCAACTATGGATAAGGGTTATATAAGTTACATCCCCTGAATTGTCTAACAACCAAGGATGTAACTTACTTACTCCAAAAACAAGGAATTTCATCGACTAGACAACTCCAAATACATTTTAGTGTGATCAACTAAAAATCGAAATGTTTACGCGACCTAATGTTGCGGTATTCTAACATACAAGAAATATATTTAATGTATATTCATAAGAAGAAAGTGTTTCACTTGTATTTATTTACCGATATAGTGATATTTGAGTCCTGTATTGTAACAAAAAGTGTAACAAGGAGAAAAATTGGAGCTGCATTACCCAAAATGTACTCTAACCAATAAGTATCTGAGTCATTAGATTGGAAGTAATGTTTTCGTCATGGATTGATGTTAGATAAATTCTATACTTATTTCATAAAACATTTTCAATATGTTACCATCAAAATTCAAGAAAACGTGATCTCGTCAACTGAGTGACTTATTCCACTAAGAACGACGTTAAAGACATTAAGTTTCCAAATTGAACGTAAAACATGTTATGAAAACATCTTGGCCATTGTAATTACAATAATGCGCATAACTTCTTTACACAAAGCCTATATGACCGTCATGAAAACTGGTGGCTAGAAAAGACTGCATAGATGTAACCGGCATATATATCCCAACTGGTGCAAGGTGCTGGAAACAGTAGCACAATAGTAATTATATATTGGTAAGTGGAAGATTTGATAAAGCAGTCCATCGACACATAGCACTAACAAATTTCATCACATTGTCTTATGTTCCATTCCTGTTGACACTATACCAACTGACGGCTATAGAGATTTAGAAAAAAAGTAACGACTACCAATACACCAAAAAACAAACTGTCCAGAAATCTAAATCCTGTTCGTGTCAAAAATTTAGATATCATTTAAGACAGAAACCGAATAGATTGTTCAAAAATATGTAGCAGATCGTGCATTATATCACCGAAATGAAACGACTTTAAAATACCACAGCCTCATTAGTGGTGTGCTCAGTCTAACTATGAGGAGTCATGTGGCCTAGGGTATTGTCCGAAAAAATCTCAAGTGCCCGTTTAACTTTTACCGACTTGTTTCATCTGTTGTACATGCGATATACGTGTATGAATAGGAGCAAGGATGCAAATACTACAATTCGCTTTTAATTACTTCATGTTAGGCTGGTTACTAGTATTTGATGACAGATTTCTTCAAATGACTCGGAACCACTGAGGGAGTAATTAAGCATAGATACACTAAGTAAAAATGGTAAATTAATTGATGAGAAATTTCTTACTCATATCAGGTCACTTCGTTTATGACAGCTGTGCCAATTAGTGTAAACCTACTCCCTAGGGTGAGTTTTAATCGCGATCTATGATTAAGATATAAATATGTCTCTATCAAAGCATTGCAAATTTATTGATTCCTTAACTTCCTCTAAATATTAAGCTTAATATCATCCTAAGCCTTTTGTCTTTTGATGCTATTCGTATTCACTTTGGATTGTTTTTTATTTGAATTTCCGTTGTAATGGATAATACTATTTTCACTACACTCAGTTGTTCGTATAAGGGTTATGTGAAAATTGTTGAGATCTGTTTGACAACCAGCTTGTGATCTTATCAACCTTCAGCTATATCACTTTCGTCTTTTAATATGCAAATATAATATGTAAGAACTTGGATTGATGTAGATTTATGCTAAATTTACCAATATTCGGTATACTTTTCAGCATGATTTACAATTGTAAGTTAAAGGATCAATATATTTTATTAAATTAGTTCTATTCCATTATATATAAGCATGTTGAATACAAACTAAACGAAAAAAAAACAAAAACAAATTAGAGTAAGACTAGAAACCTTTATAGGAAAAATCAAATTCGCAATGTCTTTGCACATTAAAAAAAAAGGATATTTTGTTGTGAAAACCAATCATAAACAAAATATGCACAAATGACAGTAATATGAAATATTAAGGATATTAGCAAAGTGAACAGGTAGACTTCTAACTAATTTGTTTTAATGGAAAAGGTAAGAAAAGACAGAAATAATAGTAACAATTAAATAAATAAATCTACATATTAGGGAATATAACTATAGACAGTAAATTGAAGGTTTGCAAAAACACGCTAAATCAGTAAAACTATTATACAATTTTCATTATATTTAAAATATAATAACAATACGAATTAAATTACGAGAGAGAAAAATATACAAATTAAAGTGAAATATATTAGAAAAAGATCAAAGAAGATACCGTTAATGCAACAAAGAAAAAGACATGGTTGTAAGATAAATACAACAACAACAAACAACAACTGCAACTACTACTACTAGTAGTAGTAGTAGTAGTAATAGTAGTGTGAGTTGATTATGCGCATCTCTCAGAAGATTTTTATACATATTCTGCATTTACATAATAATAATAATAATAATAATAATAATAATAATAATAATAATAATAATAATAATAATAATAATTGTAATATTGCACTTACTAGAAACAAAATGAAAACTGATAAAATAATAATTGGAACGGACAAGGTAGTATTAGAAAATGTATTACAGGCATTTGTATACAGAGAAAATAATTTCAGATTAATTTCATGTTTAAAATGGAGAGTTAAAAAGAAAGAAAGAAATTTAGACGTCAGCTCAAACTATACACAATTACAAAAATCAGTAATGTTAATTTAAGTCAAAAAAAGTCAGCAGAAAAAACAACCTCCTCTCTTCACTTTTAAAAGTAACAAAAGTAAAAGAATTTGCTCATGGATAATATAAAACATTAGCTTACATTGAATAATCAGATACCTAATTGGCAAAATCAATATTATATATATTTATATGATGAACGGAAGGAAGAGTAGTATAACAACTTCATGTTTAATTTATGTATGGATGTGTAAGGCTGGAAAAGGAATATACAATTTATGAAACACTTTTTCAAGTTATACTTTTTTAAGCATAGAATTCTCTTGTTGGTGCTCTTGTATAAGTGTCAACTGTGGGTAATTTTTTTGGTTCATCCAAAGCATAAGATCCTTCATCTTTTTTACGTAAACGATAAATACAGAATAGAATAAGTAAAATTAACAATAGTAAAACAAGTACTACACTTCCAACGATACCTAGAATAGTAGGAAAAGAAATTGGAAGCAACAAAAGTAGAGAAAAATTACGTGACAATGCGATCCCAATAGATATAAAAAATCAGACAGATAAAATAGGCGTGTCTGACAATTAATTGTTACTTGAAACTTATTTTTTACATTGTTCTATGTCAAAATTTCATCCACGAATCTCTAAGGCACAGAGTAGAACCAGTAACATATATGCATCGGATCAAGTTACCATACATCAGTAGCACAACAAGATGATTTTTTTAACACATAAATATTGGTACAAGGAGGCACCAAAAACATATACGCCACACAAATCTCATTCGATATGTGTGAGGGCTGTGATACTGCCCGGGTGCCCAAACCGAAGCAACAACAAGATGAACACCAAACTCATAAAACCAGTTACTTCAATGGTAGTAAAAAAAACGTTTCATATACGGCCACGATAAAGGGAGAAGAATTAGTTTATAGAAAGAAAAGTATAAAGTAACCTTTATCTCACGGTTTAAGGTAAGACAAAGAGTGTATACACCGACGCAATTGTGATCGATTCTGAGTCATATCACACAGTCTTCAACCACTGATTACGATAGTTGCGTGGACCTTAACCAAGTAGTCTACATCTACCAATATGGCTCACACCAGAAGTTAGTGACTTCAAGGAATGATGCCACATTTGGGTTTGGTCGCCACTAACTTTCTTCTAACCATCGCCAACACTAGTTAGCGTTGTGCGTCGTGGTAAACAGTGTTCAGGCATACGCAACAAGTGACCCAACTATCTCAGTCGATGGAGATTCACAACCTCATCAACTGATTTACCATTATTCCCTAATACCCTGTGTCTAATCTTACTACTACTTACCTGGTGATTCTCGCATATGCGAGCAACATTTCTAAAACATTTGTGATCAAACACTAGTAGCTTACGCGTATCCTCTACTCTTAATGGTCATGTTTCGCAGCCGTAAAGTAAAACAGAACGAACTGCTGCTCAGTATACTCGTCCCTTAATTGATAGACGGATATCTCGCCTTCGCCATAGGTGGTGATGTAAGTTGGCAAAAGTCAAACGAGCTTTCTGATTCCATGCAGAGATTTCACCAGACACCAACCCATTCGGGCTGATCGAACTTCCAAGATAAGTGAAATTGTCAACGCGTTCAACTACTTCACTCCCTATCCGTAGTTCAAGTGTTGACGCAGACCAGTCCTGAAGCAACAACTTGTATTTAGATGGGGAGAAACGCATCCCAAACATCCTGGTATTGTTGGTCAATGCTACAAAAACACTCCATTTCAAACAGGAATATATCATTCGCATATTCTAGGTCGATAAGTGGACCTTCTGGAACAAGACCAATGCCCGGAAATGTTAATTCCAGCAGTAGGTCTATGATGAAATTGAACAAAAATGGAGATAATGGATGGCCCTGCCGGACACCACTCGAGGTCGGAAAAGCAGATGACATATCGCCATAAGCTCTGAGTCGACTGGTAGTGTTAGAGTAAAGAGCCTTCATAAGGTTTATGCACTTCGGATGTATACCTTTAAATGACAGACACTGCCACAGAACGTTTCGGTCAAGAGTCAAATGCTGCTTTCAAGTCAACAAAAACCATCATTTTCGGACGCTGATAAGCATTCCTGTGTTCTAAAATCTGACGAGTGGTGAAAATGTGGTCGACGCAGCCACGGCCAGGTCTGAAGCTAGACTGGTCTTCTCTTATTCTTAGTTCATAATTCTTTGTTAGGCGCTCGATAATTATTGAGTCTAGTGTTTTAGACGCTATGTTAGTCAAAGTAATCCCTCTATGGTTGTCACAGGATAATTTTGACCCCTTCTTATATTTTGATGGAGTTTTGTTCTCTGAGCTGGATAGTTTGGTCGTGGAGCTTTCATCGTTCATCTGAACGACATCATCAGCACAAACTTCAGGTAGAAGCGAAGTGTTCGAGTTTCTCCACATGCGGTTCATAGCTTGTTCTGTACACCTGTGTTAATTGGTTCTTGTTGACCTTAAATCTGTCATCGTACCTTGGGTTTGCTGCTTTTAGTCACACCGCTCTTTAATTAACCTGTCTAGCATGGTAGAACCTTGAGGAACGATTGTTCCAGCCAGTATAGACCGATTGGGTCATCACGAAGTTAACCAAAACGATATGCACACAATAGGAAATTTTGAATGAGATACAATTTTAACAACTGCTATCAACAAATCTCAATACCAAAGTTAACCTTACAAGATTTTCGAAACGGATTTCGAATGTACACTGAATAACTCACGACATTTTTTGTATCCTATTTACGTCATATACATACGATAATATTTAATTAACTTCACTAGGTTTCCAAGCTAAAAACACAGGAATAGCGATCAATTACGACTAAAGTTCTCATCATTTAACTGCCTTACTCAAGCATATAAGTACAACACGCAATAGTAAATAGCTTAAAGAATATTTAGGACGTTTTAATCGAATTATCCCAAAGATTTGTACTTTATAATATAGTATTCTGATCCATATTTAAAGTATTTGGCTTTCAGCCACTAGTCTACAAGCTTGAACCCCTTTGCATTCACATACTTCGGTTTAAGCAACCAATCAGACAGAAAGAAGTTTTCGACATATACTAAAGGACAGATTAAAACAAATGAAAACTTACTATATAATTTTCTTATAACATCTAAGTAGAACAGTAGACTGACATTACTACTAGTACTAATGTTACTGCTATGGACACCTCAGCTTAAACAATGAATAAAACTTCAAAAATGTGTAATTACACTACTAGATACAACGGAATTAATCATACATAGTGTTAATATTGTTAGTAGGTTTCGACTAAATAAAAAATAAGTGAATAAATATGACGAAAGTTTTTACTGCATAGACCATGAAATCATGATTTAAGCAGTAGTATACAATCTAAGAGCACAAACTAATTAGCTATGATATTAAATACTTACCAGCTATTACACCAGGTTGACTTAAAATTTTTGATGTTGATGTCCCAGAATTCCATGACTGATGAAGTGATCTACTATGTATTGAGGTTTGACGTACAGCCGAAACACCGCCGCTTAAAGTATTCGGTTCAAAAGGTCCAAGTTTATGTGCTACATTTTCGGAGGATGACGATGATTTAGGACCTAAAGATTTTAAACTTGATGCTTCATGTGAAACGAGATAGGAATTTTCGTTCATTTCTATGAACAAAAATGTCATAAAATGAAAAAAAGGATAAAGATGAAAGATGTCTGAATGCTTCCTGAAATAACACAAGTAACGGAAAAGTCGTTTGAATAAAGTTGTAAATAAATGAAACTATTGAGCTACGATGATACAATCCATACTTGAAACAAGATATCAAATTCATACAGAGAAAAAATTAATGCCTTATGGTTTTGGATTTTACTTCCCTTAGGCTCTATACACTCGTCTGCTTGTTGTATCTAACTGCTCTGTCTTCAGTCCCAACAATTTGAAAGAATGAGTGCATGTTAAAATTTTGAAGATCACTGATGATTTTTTAGAAACAACAACATTCTTTACACAAAAACAATGACTTGGAGTGCGTATATGCAGAGGTCAAAAATTAATTTCAATGTGAAATTCTATGCTAAAACGTTTTTAGAGGATTAAACTGGTAACAAACGACTGTATTTAAGTCTAATGGCATGACTTTTATATGAATTCTATACCTAAATATAGAGTAAGGATTTTGAAAACAGTTGTCAGTCATATGAACTGTAGAACCTAACACATTAGCGTTGGTTCACGTTGTCATACTATATTAGCACAGTGAGATAAAATTACCAAAAGAAATCGAAGTGGTAATAGTACAAGCAGTACAAATAGTGATAGAAAAGATTAGATGTGAAGGCAAGGATAAGATTTTAGAGCTCAGAATTAAAATGAAAACAAAGAGTGAATGGACCTCTACTGTTGACGACCACGTTAAGTCTCTAACCACTGGTTACGATAACCGCGCAAACCCCAAACAGATAATTTTCACTTACCTACATTTCTGTGAAATTCTTAGATATTAAAAAAAAATTGGGAGAAAAAAATATCAAACACACATCTTTACAGACAAATTTTATAGATTTTTTCCCCAAAAAAATACATGTTCAATGATAAGAATAGTAGACATGTTACAATAATGAAGAGTGAAATATGACTGTAAAAGTTAGCAAATATATATTCTTACCTGAACTTCTCACTGCAACCATTTTATGCCCAACTGATGGTAATGAAGATTTAGACTGTTGGTGTTGTTGCTGAGATATATCACTTTTAGAAAAATGAAAATTAATCTAAATAAAAGATAAAATAAAACATTGAAATTGAATTCTATTTATATTCACTAAAAATCAAGATATTTAATTGTCATATAAAGGAGAATATACATAACAAACTAAATTTATTAGTTAATATTTTAATTAAAATAATTATTGATAGCCGAAAATAGTAATAATTAGGAAGATACCAATCTAGTTGAAATGTTAACGGTTATTTTAAACTTTAAAATGAATAAAGTTTATTATAGAAACTATAATTATCATTACTTATTATCATTGTTAATAATAATTATTTTTATTTATGTAGTTCAATTACATTTTAGATAAACAATTAAAAACTGATTTGTGAAATAAGAATAACTTGTAAATAAGTAGTGTCTTTTTAAGAAAAAAAAGAAAGAAAAGAAAAGAGTGATGAAAAATGGGCTACATTTTTAGTTGAATAGGAATATAATCTTATTTCTTATTTAATAATACGTAAGGATATAAACAAAAAGGGAAAACAATTGATTTAGGTCATTTTAGTTTTATTTCATTTACCTAACGCTTTTAGTAAACTGATGGATCAAAGATAATTCATCAAAAATTAGATGATATTTCCTTACTAAGAAAGTTACATTCAAGATAATGACTAAAGTGGAATAGTCGACTTGGTATTTCAAGGATTGTGGATTCTAATTCTAGTTCATAGGCTTCTGCTTGAAGAAGCGAGTATTTTCATCGACTTTCGTATCAAAAGTGTGAGTCTGAAAGCACAACAAATGAATGTATATTAGAGTTAGTAGGTTTATTTTTCCCCGCCTCCTAGGTTACTACGGAAAGGTTGACAACAATATTACATCTAAAAAATTAATCGTTTCATTGAATGCAAATAAAAGCAAAATTCTAACTTACTTGTTTGTCTGACAATAAATCTTCAGATTCATGAGATGCTAAAGGTGCTGGGTCTGCGTAGATAAGACGTGCGGATAAGGGAAAAATAAATTCCAAAAATAATTATTGATATTGGTAACAATAATAATGTAACTGAATAAATAAGTACAGGTTCGTTTGATCCAGTTTCAATGACATGTTTCATATAAGAGCTAATGATACAACTCGGTTGACCAAACCTGAACAAGTGAAACGTCGACTTGAATTTACAATCTAATAAAAGAAACTAGTAGTTTTCTATATATCGTGATAAGTTACGGTATTAAGGAAATTATTTACTATTCGACAACATGTAGACGTAAAGCTATGCAATATGAGTTTGAATGACTTGTGAGAAAAAACGGAAGATAAAATAAGACAAAAACAAACAATCAACGGATCGCACTAACAAAGGTATTTAATTAAACCTTCAGGACAGGCATTCAATTGATGGTAGTTAATATTTAAACTAGAACAAACGTGTTAGCTCAAGTCATTATACCACACTAACACGAGATGAAGTTAACATAATAACTCCTAAAAGAGTTAGGATAATACAACAGCAACGATAATGAGAAAGACTAAGCACTATGAATATGGTTCAAAGAGAAGGGGTGAAAAGGTACAGGTGAAGAAATTCTGGAACTCTGAAAGACAGTGAATGCATCTCCTTCATCATGACCGATTTTAAGCAACCACTCAACAATTAGAACCATTAGTTAAGATAATCGTGAGGACCTCAATCAGGTAGTCTGCATCCAACAGTTATCAGTGACTTCAAGGACTGATGCCATATCTTGGTTTGGTCTCTTCTGGCTTTCCTCCAACTTATCACTACTCCGAGCAGTATTATGTATCGCGGTAAGTAGTGATTAAAAGTACGTAACACAAACCTTGGCTACCTCAGTCGATGAAGACCCACAAGCTCATCGAGATAATTACCATATTTTTTCATTACTTTATGCCTAACTTTAGAATTGGTCAATAGGTCGTGTGAAGTGCCGATAAAATGGAAAAATTCGATTGCACTTTATGACAAATATTTAGAAAAATTTCGAACAGTATAATATCAACTTGTATTTGTGGTTATTGTGTGTAAACAATCGAATATTATGAATTTCATGAAAAATCGATACTTATCATCAATCTGCTGAATAGTTTTAAATGTCATAACAAACGATTCTTACACAAAGAACAAATTCATGACCACAGATTATTTAAAACATAATGGAGCGATCAAACCATTCATGACAAAGAGCAGAATACAAAATCAAAATTCCCCATCTGAGTTGTAAACCTACATTTAACAGGAACTGAATGAGTATTAATTTTACTTTTAGGAGCATGTAGAGCACCACTAGTAATTAATATCAGATTCGTATAATAACTTATTAGTTTACTTACTAAACTGTTTGTTATTATTAGATAACGAAAAATCAGTCACTTATGTCTGAGCATTCAGGAGCTGGCGCTTATTATTGACCCATAAATGTCCACGACTCATAGCTTATCAGGAAAAAATGTATAAAGTTTGTGTGTAAGAGTGAAATTGCTCTTTTAAAATGTTTCCTAGATCTGTAAAGTAAATACTTTATCCTCATGTCTAACATTGGTTCCTACGCATGCTAATCTAAAAGAACCTAAAACAAAATAAAAGTTGAGAAGTCGTATTGTACGTACGCGATTTCTTTAAAAAGTTTGATAGACATTCAAGTTCGCAGTCCCTGAAACTGAAATATGCTGTTTTCGTCTGTTTTACTCACAACCCATGAATATTGAATCAGTAATCTCAGAGTATAATTTAGAAAGCATGTTTACATTCATGGTAGCCTAAATCAAAAAATTTTTAAGAGGAGCTAACTTACCTTTGTCAAACTATTAACCAAAAAATATACGTGCTTTTATTTGTGCTCATCACTATTCTTATGCCATTATGGAATTATAAAATAATGGCTAAGGAACTGAGTGAGGACATTAGGACGCATACACAAATATAAGTTAGACGTATTAGAAACTATCCGCTGGTATTATGGTGTATGCTACTTATGGCGACAGACATAATCAGTATGTAAAACCAATCGGAAGTGGAAACCCTGGCAGCAGAACGCTAAGAAGATCAAGTTCAAGAGAACGGAAGCGAAAACGGAAAGGGATTTTGAACTAGAAGAATCATACAGAATGTGAAGTACAAACGATGGAAATTCGCAAACGAATTGTTCAATGTATAGTTCTCATACTTTACCAAAGCATTCTGTAATTTTACATTAAAATACATGGGGTCTCTCCACCTTTGTCTTCATCTATTGCAGTATCACCTGGTTAATTATTTTTTCAAAGTGGAATATTACTAAACACTTTCTATGTACCTAGCAGCTTTTTTAAACTATAGTTTGAACTATATGTATTTAAAAGATATATCTTATCACAAACTAAAGTTAACTAAAGTCATTACCTGGAATTTTAGGTTCTAGAATTTTTACATAGCTTATACGTGGATCAACAGCACCAACATCTGATAAAAATCCTTCGTGAAGGCGATTTTCTAAAAGATCCTGAGGTGCTTGCAAAGAGCTATGACCAGTAGAGGTCAGCTGGACTTGATAGTATGCAAATTCGGAACTGTTATGCAAATTTTGAACATCTGGAATGGTGGATATGCGAGTAACGCTTGTTACTTGTTGAAATCCAACAGCCGAACGTAAAATTCTTTCTATGCTATTTTTTATATGTAACTTTAAGGAGGCATCGGAATCCCATAGCACACCATCAACATCACCAGTCTCAGGTGAACTTTCTTGATGCGGTTCGCCAACAACAGAAGTCGGCAGGATACTTCGTACATGTAAAGCAAGCAAAACTGAATAAACGGCTGAAAGAAAACACAAAAATGAATATCTTATGGGAGTAGACAAAAGTAAACAGTTTAGAACTTGAAGATAATGACTAAAAGAAACAATAAATTTTTATTACTGATTGATGTTATGGTACTCTGAGATGGAATTTATACATACGGAAAATTCGCTCACATCATACTTCAAGATTCTCATTGTGTTTTTAGTAAGCTTCAGTCGATTATATAAAATTTCAGTATTCTGGTTCTGTAGATATTGGAACAAGTCGTTTGCCTTAGTAATCATAGGGATAATTATTAAATATTTAGCTACAAAAATAAAAAACTAAATTAGAAATGGACCAAACTAGAGAAGCGACGAGTTGTGCTGAAATACGTTGTCATGTCAGTTATCAATTCATTAAATTATCATAACAAATTAAGCTGTTACAGCCGTCATTGTTGAAATAAAAAAATATGCAGTTAAGCAAATAAACAAGACGTAGAGATCATAGATTAAGCAACCAATCAATGGAAACAGATAAACAACTAAGGTTTCTAATGCATATATACAAAATGACCATAAGTATATTCCATAACACTATACAAATTCTCCATACAGTTCGAAGCATTAGGTACATAGTTATTTTAAGTGTTTGAAAGGAACCACACTTATCTTATTTGCTCGCTTAGTTTAGTCAAAATAAACACTTATCTTCCTAGGATGACCCGCATGAGCCATCAATCTTCACATTATGAGATACCGCCACTAAACTAATAAGACAAAACTCGTCACCACAATAAATTAATAATCTACATAGCCCAGTTACTAGGCAGTGATCAGTCTCAACAAGTAGTGTAGCTCCTAGTATAAGTAGCTTGTAGATTCTAACCAACACTGAAAAGTAAAATATGGTACTGGTTACTATCTGGAAATTACGTTAACTATGGAATTAACGTAACTTTGTAGTGGAATGTACGCTTGAGTCCCATATTATGAAAAGTAATGACTACGTTAGGGTTAACCGATCTAGTTACTTGTTAATTTTTTCGAAGTTTGAACCACAGCCCATTATATCTTGCGATGTCGTGTCACATAAAGGAAAAGTGAGACATCCTACTGTCTGTTTACGGTGTAATATACTTCATGCCAATTCGTCCTGGTTTTCTTAACACCTTTGAAATATGTCATGCTAAACAATAAGATTCATATTTTGCACAACATTAATATAAAAGTAAACACGAAACCTAAAAACGTCTCAAAAAAATAGGAATCAATCCTTTTGTTAAATTTTTACTGTAACTTTTTCACACAAAAACGCACGTATCTAGCAGTTTCACCGGGTGGAAGTAGGTTGAAATAAAGTTAAGGGTTGCCAAGCCAAGACCTGACATCAGTCCTTAGAGACCCTGACAACTGTGTGGAGCCATATAGTTAGATCTTGAAAGCCCTATATACAACCACCTCTCATCATTGTTTCACTCAACGTCATCCCAGAGAACTCCTCGTCGTGCATTATTTGCTGATGCTGGGACTGGTTGGAAAAAACAGAGAGGTGGTCAATGTATGAAATGGTGCCGTGGTATGAAACAAAGTTGTACAGGACTAGGTTTTATAGGTCTTTTACGAATTTTTGGTTGGAGTCCTAGGGATGATGCAACACAGTGGCTAGAGACGTCATCAAACATGGCTTAGAATAGAAGCCAGTGGTGATCCTGCTGTAACTTACTCTTACTTCCTTCGTAATAGACTAACGTAACTTCTTTACATGAAAAAATTTATGGTTATATACTAAACTGTTTCTCCCATTGTTATTATTTCACTACGATACACTAATTCCTGTTCATTGTTGTCCTCTTATTATACGCACTTTACATTCTCAATCTCTTCACAACCTTATTGCTGTTATGTGGTGCATATGTATTTGGTTCCCCCTTGTACCAATGAATGTGTTCAAATAAATATATGAATAAGATTCGAGTTACCTAACTGAGGTCCTCATGAATGCCATAACCAATGGTTGGAAATGTCAAGTGACATTGTTTAGAATCGGTCGCAATTAAGCAGATACATTCCCTTGTTCTTCAGACCTTGAGTCCTAAAATTATATTATATTGTTTATTTCACGAATCCATCTTTTCTTCCTGCTTGATATCGTATATTTCCAATTTTTCACTACCGCTGATACTATTACTCCTGCACCTCTGATATTCGTTTTTGTAATTTCACCAAGCTATGATATTATGATGTGGCAACTTAAACTGATGGACATATATGCCAGATTTTACGTAGATTACAGCTGGTTGACTGTATTTCACGATGTATGACTGATAAAGACTTAAATAAAACACTTAGCGTTGCACTAATGTTAAAATACAACCATCAACTGGTTTCTAAAATGCTCTGAAATTTTCTTAGAATAAGTCACAAGAAAAATTTTAGACCACCAATTACTTATACACATACCTGTAGAACAATCTCCTACTTCAACAGGGCTTGCACGTGTACCCAATAGTGTTACTCCAGTGGTTACATTAACACAAAAGCAGTCATACTCATTACACTGTCTAGCAACATACAAGTCTGGTCGATCCAGACGACACTGTGGAACATATGCAGACACTATTCTCCCGTCTTCATCAGTCCCATAAAACTGATGGTTTGTAAATGTTTTATTGCTTAAATATAATGGGTTGCCTGGTGATTTGTCTTTTTCCGATTTCCCATTCTGCACTATCTGGTATTGAATTTCCCGTACAGTGTGCTCGCAGTTAGCTGTATAACAAAAAAGCAATTTGATATGACTACGGTTATTTTAGTAATTTTCTGGAAAATGCTGCAAATAGAAATTCATTATGGAAGTTCTTGCCAATGGTGAATGGAAATGTGACACTGATAAAGCCTTACATGGACCGCCACTCAGCGTTCACAAGCCTTTGTAGTTAAAAAAATATGGAATCAGTGTATGGACGGACATGTAGGGTAAAAGTTGATATACTGAAGACCAAATATTATGGTAAAAGTAGCAGTCACTTCCTAAAATCCTCAAAATACACCACCAACAATTCCTATCGGTTTACTAATGCTTTTCTGAAAAATTCACTACAGAATACGCGTCCCATAGAACTACCAGAAATAAAATAAATTGTAGAGATGTACATTACAAAACAAAACCTATGTATAGTAGATAAAATGTAAGAGAAAGCACATTTCTTGTCAAACACGATAGAAATTTGAGCATGCAACATCATTATAATACATACAACCTGGCTAGAATAAATTATATTATGCAACTTAAAATGCATAAAAGTATTAATCTGAAAGCAGTGTTTCACCAGGACGAAATGACGTGCCTCATTTTTCTAACGAAGAATCAAGTCAAACGTTCTTCATTTTAAAAGAAACTCATAAATGCGATTGTGTTTTTTAAACATCAACGCGCCGTATTCTAGATATTTTCGAAAATAATAAGATTACTTGTTCACTTGCCGTTTAAGGTCGGATGGCTATCAATAACGGGAACGATTAGTCCATTTTGAGCGAAAACATACAGACCATATGGAGCTACGTTTTCAAAGAAACAGTATCCCAGATACAGGAAAATACAGCGTAAAATAGGAGCACCCATTGAACACATCTGAACAATGCGCGATGTCTAGGTTCATGGTGAATCAACAAGGTTAAACAAAAGTGTCAACCATCACATTAAAAACAAGACATCCAAAAAGAATAGCATGGTCACAAATCATTCGGTCGGTAAACTTTAAAAATATATCGATACCAACTTTATACACAACTATTTTTATTTCTTCCGTTCTTTATCGGACTACTGGTATCCGAGATGACCGTAAAATGCAAGGAACCACATCAACAGCACAAATTTTAGCTAGAAGTGCAGTGTTTGAGTTTCATCGCAGAGGATTCATAGCTTGATTAGTTACTTTTGACATTTAACCTGTCACTACCTACTTTATTTTGATAGTACCTCCCGCTAATTTGATTCTTGGTCCTATATTTGTCTACTATCTTGCTGCTAGGTCGATAGGTTGATTCGATTTCAGTGTGCTTTTTTATCGCTGATTGATCTGAGTTCCAAGCTCCTTAAAATCCTCTGGTGTCTTCTGAATTCACTCTAGGATCTCAACATTCTTCCGGTCGGACGTGCTTCCACATTTGTCCACATGCATTAAAATCTGCTATATGTGTGATTTAAGAGTAGTGACGAACTGTGGTATGTTGTAGGTTGGAAATATATGCATATCGACAGGATTCAAATTACGCAAATTTGCAATCAATTAAAGCATTTAAAAATACAATAGTCGACGTCCGATTCCAATGAGTAAATTACGAAATAGTAATGAGACTACAAAATGTAAAATTATAGCGTCTTGTTCGATTGGAACAGAATAAGCGGTTAATAAAAATAATGTGTTTCTGCATGAGCACTTACACGCCATTTTTACAGGCATGATCTACAAATTATAACATTTGTTGGCTTACAACATGCTTCTCAACTTATTAAGTTTATAGTTGTTATAAAGTAGATTCGTAGATCCCTTGCTGTAAACTATGACCTTGAGGGGACGCTTATGTCAAATTTGTTTCAGACGCCAGAAGTTCCATAGTTGTGCCCTCAGAGCAAGATTCTGAAGAAAGAAAAAAGAGAAACAGAGGAGCAGCAAGGCACTTGGATATGAACGTCAAACGTTGCTTAACATTTTTCAGTAGAACAGACATAAATAAAATAAATTAGATTCAGTTCACACTATCTCTTGTTAGAGGCTCCATATTAGAGAATGTAATAATGAAGAACAACGAGTTCTGAAGTTTAACAAGTTGGAGTAGAGAATTCAAGGTTGGTGCAAGGAAAGCGTTTTATTAGAAGGAAGTGTGCATAGAGAAGGTGAAATGTTAAGAATACTAATAACTATATCTTTTATTGTCTAATTTTTCCGTCTTTCTTTTGTCCGTCTAACGCCAGCCACATAATCCTAGTGTCAGGTTGTCCTAGTAGAATAGCTAATTCAGCATTAAATTGGAAACATGAGTCTGAGTGGTGAGCGTAGGAAGATAATCTGTATCACAGATTGACTTATTCTCAGTCATAAAGAGCCTGATGCATACAAACCAGTTGATGGGTAACAGTCTGCATAGATGCAAGACCACTGGTAGTAGGCAGTCGACTGTGCGGTCCTCTTAACTTTTTAGGGTGGCAGTGTGTGTCTCTTAGCGACTGAGTTTAGTTGAACAGTATCGATAGGTTCAGTGTGTAACCTGTCTACTTCAAGTGAAGAAATAGGGTGGAAAAAGTAACTAGTACAACTGCAAAGTAGGAAAAATAAGCAAAATGAACTTGAAGTTCATTTCGGTCTAGACATGTAGAGAGCCTATGATGTCTGAGTGGGGCGCAGATGTGTTCCTACGTGCTAGATCAGTGAAAGTGAGGGCTAGATCAAGCAGTTCTACAAACGCATGTAATTAATCTGCCATGCGTATTCCGGAGGGAAGACTGTTCCATATTATTGCATACTTGATGAAGATGAAATTTTCCTGAGTTTTTGAACTATATTTCTCAACTTTGACCAGAGATACTTTGTTTCGAAGTTCGTGTTCATGTGAATCTCGGGCAAGAACTATATTACATGTTGAATAAGTAGAGTTTTTGAGTGGTTTGAAGTAGAGAGTCAAATTATGGCTGAGCCTTCTTTTCCAAAAGGGTTCTATTCCTAAAATTTGGTATCAAGAACTGTAGTCAATGACTGAGTCAGTTTTAAGTATTTTGTGGGTAAAGTCTTGTTGTATTCTTCCCACCTTTAGTATATCAGATAGGCGTAGGTTGGAAAATAAGAACGAGCTGTATTCAACGATAGATCTTACACAAACTTTATAAAGAAGGATTTTAGATTCCTTTTCATAGAAATTGCGGAGAATGAAGCCAAGCAATTTCCGCATTTTAGATGCTTTGGCTGAGATGTGTTCAGAGAAATTAAGACTGTGTGAGTAATGTACCCTTAGGTCAGTTAATGAGGCCAGTGTAGGCAGTTTGTTGTTGTTAAGTGTTAGTTTTGTTTTAAGAGACGTGTCTACTATACATAACCAGTTGCATTTCTCTGTGTTGAGCTCTAGCCTTCAGCGTTTGCACTAGTCGTCTACCATGTTAAATTCATGTTGAATTGTTTGCATAGTACTGCGTAAATCGCAAATGTCAGTTTTACAGATGACTTTTAAGTCATCGGCATAGAGGTAGGTCTTACCTGTGCTTAAGCACTTGCATAAATTGTTGGTGTGGATTATTAAGAGCAATGGACCCAAGACACTACAATGCACATAACCACTGGTTATTGGTCGAGGTGTAGATGTTGTAGAGTTAATCTTGGTTATTTGTTATCCGTTCGTAAGAAAAGACTTGATCCATTGTAAAAGGAGGTTTATAATCTCAACTGACTTAAGTCTGATGATTAGAATATTATGAGGTACATTATCAAAGGCTTTCTTAATATCGAAATATAGTATAACCACTAGTTTCTTCTGGCCACGTAGTAGAGTAACCTGTAGGACCTTGTTCTGATGAAGCCGTGTTTTGACGTTCCTATTAGATCTTCCTTAAGTAGGTGATAAGATAGTTGACCTTGTATCACATTTTCCATTAAGCATGATATAACTGGAGTTTTCGACCAGGTTTCTCTGTCCTGATTTGTGTTTGGGAAGAACATACGTTACCTTTCAGGTTTCCGGATATGTACCGGTCTCTAAAGATAATGTGTATATTTCGAGTACCAGCGTCTGTATGCCCAGTCCTGACGTTTTGTAAAGGATTGAAGGGATGTCATCGGCACCGGAATTCGCATTTGGCTTAAGGGTTTTAGTGGCGGTATGTATACTCCTAATGTCGAAGTTTATGGTACTAAGATAAGTTTTGCTGATACACTTTATGTTGTTATCTGTGGTATGAGATTTATTCTTATTGCATTGTCCAGTGCTTCTCGAGTCTCAGTTTCAACTTGGCGATCGGCAAGTGATGATTTGATGCTATATCAGCTCCTCTCTTGGTTTTCACAGCCTCCATCATCCGCCTGAACGTTTTGTCGATGCAAATATGGTCAATTTGGCTCTGTGTAGTGTGATCCGATGAAGTTCATGTGGTTTTATGAATGCGTTCATGTGAGAATTTAGTGCCGCCTGTATCCAGCTTGTTAAAGGCACATGGAATTGCAAATCTCTCACCATTTTCGTTCCTTCTTTTCATTCAGTCCATGTCGTCCCATGATGTCTACATATCCGGTGTTGCCCATTCCAACCTTGACATTTAAATCTCCTGTGTTGGGCACTTCTCGCTGATTGACTGCAACCTATCGTAGAATTGATCTTTAGCGTCTTCATTGTAGTCATTGGTAGGCGCATGGCATTGGATGACGTTCGTTGAAATGCCCTCTTTCTTCGCTTTGAAGGAGGCTTTGATGATCCTTGGTCCATGAGATTCACATTTTATAAGTGCATTTTGTGCTTGTTTAAACAGCATCAATGCAGCTCCTTGTGTATGTGGGACATTTTCTTCCTCATCGCCGGAGTATAACAGGAGCTTTCCTAAAGTTAGTCGTTGTTGTCCGACTTGCGTCCAGTGTGTTCCACTGATCCCAAGTACCTTTAGGTTGTATCTTTTCATTTCTGCAGCAATTTGGAGGTCTCTCCCGGTGTCCCACATTGTACGAGTATTCCATGTACCTAAATAAATGCTCGCTCTGGTTGTCAGAAGAGGCATCGGTCTAATAACTTCCAAAGGAATTCGGCTTTCATAATGAGGCATCATAGTTCTTTTAAATGAAGACCTGACCCCCAAGGCAGAGTTTAAGTGGTTTGAATAATTTTCTCTGATTAGTGTTATTTAGCAAGTTAGTTTTCTACAGGATCGGGTAGCTAACCCTATGCCCAACCCTCCTCCTTTATCCGGGTTTGGGACCGGCTGTAGCCCAAGAGGGGCTCCAGGAGGAGTTACAGACCTAATAGTACTAATGAATAATAACGCGGATCAAACTTCTAGTGTAAAACGGCCTAAAATAATGCATTAGCGCCGCTATAATGCCGTAGCCAGTAAAAGTAGAAGCATAGATGACTGAGATAGAGCTTAATAATAATAGTATATTCTCGAATAACAATATTGTAAGGCATTTCAGTTTACAAACAACATCTAATTTTTGCAATTGCTAAGGGTCTTACTTATGCAAGTTGCTCGATTAGGTTGATTTGTTATAAGCTACATATGTCACGGAAAACAGGAGATGCATTTTCACACATTAAAATATTGATGTAAGACTCTTATGCTCAATATAAGAGTTAACGCTTTGTGGAAGTTGCGTTGCGATAAGCAACTGTTGGTTGAGAATCAATGTACTTAAAGTGTAGTGCTGTTCATAACGATAGGTTATGTAGTAAACGCATAATCAGAAACATAAAAGTTGACGCATTATTTTGTGCTTCTTCATAGCGTTGCCAGGTAAACTTCAGACTAATTAGTCAGGCTCAGGATGAAGTCAATTGTTACATATATGTTTTCATTAGTATACCACGAGCGTACTCGAAAAAGAGGGGAAAAACGTAAGATGAGTAGCAGTACAGAGTATACTAATGATTTGTGAAGTTTTTTCATTTGTAATGAAATAATT